CCACTGCACTCCAGTTTGGGCGACAGAGTGAGACTCCAACTCAAAAAAAAAAAAAAAAGTATCTATTGTGTGGAGAGGAGGAAAATGACATATATTGCGTAGTTGTCTTAAAAATGCTGTATTCAACTGTATGACCTCTAGGCACTTCTTGTTTGTTTGGGTTTTTTCTTTTTGAATTCACCGCAACTCAAAAAGTATCTCACCGCAGCCTCAACCTGATGGGGCTCCGGCGATCCTTTCACCTCAGCCTTCCAAGTAACTGGAATTACAGGCGTGCGCTATCACACCCGGCTAATTTTTTGATTTATTGTAGAGATGAGGTCTCACCCAGTTGCCTAGGTGAGTCTCGAACCTGTGGGCTCAGGCAATTCACTCACCTCAGCCTCCCAAGGGGATTACAGGCTGAGCCACAGAGTCCGGCTTCTAGGCACTTCTTAATACCTCTGCCTCAGACTGAGTAGAGAGATCTTTTTGCCCAACATATCCCTTGCAGAGCTATTGAGGAATCCAGTGTCCAGCACCAAGTGATCCTTGACTCTAAATTAACTCCAAGCATTATCTCGATCTTTTTTTTTAAGTTATCAAACAAAGTTTATTAGAGAAAGAAGGGAGAAAAGAAAGGGAAACGTGCCAGAGCTGGCATGAGAGAAAGAAACCGCCCATTATCTCAATCTTAATGAAAACTCAGAGGGCCCCAAAATATTCTACAGCTGTTAGTCTTCACAGCTGAAAAGCGTCACTTAAGGACTCTAGTCTCATTCTCCTCCAGTTCATTCTCCACAGAGAAGCAAAAGTGATCATAATAAAGGACATAGGCCACTTTCCCCACTTAAAAATCCTTTAGTGGATTCCTGCTGCTGTTAGATGTAGTTGTGCTAACTTTGCTTGCAAAAATCCTCCAAATCTGTTTCCTGCCCTCCCAGCTAGCCTCGTTTCTTACAGTTCTCACACTGTGAGCTCCTGTCATTAAACTTTTTTCAGTTTCTCAAATAGTTCCTCACCAGAGCGTTCACACTTATTTACTCTACCTGTAATTCTCCTTTCTTTCCTTTTTAGATAGTCTCTGCTAATCGCTTTGTGGCTTATTGAAAACATCACTTCTGCTGGGCTCGGTGGCTCAGCCTGTAATCCCGCGCCTTTGGGAGGCTGAGGTGAGTGGATTGCCTGAGCCTGCGGGTTCGAGACCTGCCTGGGCAACTTGGCGAGACCTCGTCTCTACAATAAATCAAAAATCAGCCGGGCGTGGTAGCGCGCGCCTGTAATTCCGGCGACTCGGAAGGCTGAGGCGGGAGGATGGCCGGAGCCCAACGTGTCGAGGCTGCGGTGGCCGGGAGCGGCCGCTGCACTCCAGTCTGGGCGATAGAGTGAGACTCTGACTCAAAAAAAAAAAGAAGAAAGAAAAGAAAACATCACTTCCTTGGGAAGGCCTTCTGTGACTTCCTTTGCTAGGTTCAAGCTTGTGTTTTGCTCCCTCAGTGCCTGCACAACCAATCATCACTTTGTTGCTGACTACCCCAACTGTACATCCTGGGAAAGCAAGGATGGCTTTTTCTTCCTTTTTTTAACTGGAGTCTCACTCTGTCGTCCAGACTGGAGTGCAGTGGCATGCTCACAGCCACTGCAGCCTCGACCTGCTGGGCTCAGGTGATCCTTCCTCCTCAGCCTTCCAAGTAGCTGGAACTACAGGCGTGAGCCACCAGGCCCAGCTAATTTTTTGATTTATTGTAGAGATGAGGTCTCACCAAGGTGCCCGGGCTGGTTTCGGACCCCTGGGCTCAGGCAATCCTCTGGGCTCAAGCAATCCTCTTGCCTTGGTCTCCCAAGTGTGGGGATTATAGGCTTGAGCCACCACACCTGGCCAGGATTGCTTTTCTTATTCAGCGGCTCCTGCATCCCTAGCACAGTGCCCAGAGGAGTGTAATAAATGGTTTTCAAATATCAGACTTTTATCTACAAAACTGCTTACCTGAAACTTTCTAAAGAAATCTGGCAGACAATAGGTATGCAATACATTTTCACTGAATAAATGACTTGTCTTACCCTTAAAGATTTCTAGAACTTTCCACCTTCCTATCTTAGGGGATATACATTTGCTTAGGCAGCAAGGCTAAGCTACATAGCTTATGGCTCATCACTGAGGCTAGTTCAACAATTACTTATTCTCTACTCAACAACAGGTACAGAGTTAGGCTCTGTGGAACTGAGGAAGAACAATACTTGCTCTTATGGAACTGCAGAAGGGAAATAGATGCATGACATTATTATATATTGCATATATACTTCCTCTTCCTTCCCCTAGTAGTGCCCAGTGACTGCAGTTCCCTTCCTTGTGCTGATGTGATTAATGCTCAAGACCCACTTATGAGAACATGCCGTATTCAGATCTTTGTTTCTGTGATAGTTCACTTAATATGATGGTCTCCAGTTCCCCAATAAATATTTTCAAATCTTGAACCATAAAAATACAGGGTGAGCCGGGCTCAGTGGCTCAGCCTGTAATCCCGCGCCTTTGGGAGGCTGAGGTAAGTGGATTGCCTGAGCCTGTGGGTTCGAGACCCGCCTGGGCAGCGAGACCTCATCTCTACAATAAATCAAAAAATCAGCCGGGCGTGGTAGCGCATG